TATAATGTTTCATATTACACTGGTATGATTGTACAGCATTTTATTTATAATGCCTATTGCAAAGCATTAAGCAATTTTCGATTTTTTATAAACCTTACGTGGGTCGCGAAAAATGTAGGCCTAAAAATGTGGGTCGCGAGTCCAAAAAGGTTGAAGACCACTGCTCTAGTGTATAAAGATGAAAGAATTGAAAATACATATCTTTGAATTATAGCTACACATAATTCAAAAATTATTATGAATATTTGAATTAAAATAATAATTAATAATATTGAATTAAAATTTAGTAATGTTATAAATAAATGACCTTCAATTAAATTTACAGTCAATCAAATTGATAAAGATAATGGTCGAGTAATAATTTTTATTTATTTAAATAAATTTGTGTATTAAGAGGATGTAACTATTTTTACGCTCAGAAGAACACGCGTACCTCTGTTAGTTTAAAATTTAGAATGAATTGACCTCTAATAAAATTTAAAGGTAAGATTATTATCTAGACAACCTCATAGGTTTTTTATCATATTTTAATTTTAATGCGAGTTATGAGTATTTATGATGTTAAAACTATTTACAATTTTAAAATACTCATAACTCGCATTAAAATTAAAATATGATAAAAAGCCTATGAGGTTGTCTAGATAATATTCTTGCCTTTAAATTTTATAGGAGGTCAATTCACTATAATTTTTAAACTAACGGAACTAAACATGATCTGCTGAGTGTTATATTTGCTATATTACGCCTTTGTAAGATGGAGAAAACAAACGCTGGTGTCTCGTACTTTTAAAAGCAATTAAATCACAAAATATGCAAAGAACCTAGTATAGGCTGACAGTCCATATCCGCTCAGAATCATATATTTCGTCTATTTATGGGAATGAAAATATGCTCTTTGAGCATTACATATTTTATATTAAAAAATAATTTATCAAAAAAATTACACTTACCAAGCTTAGACATAGACTAGGTATTATAGATTGCGGAAGCTTCAAGCAAAACACTTGGTAGTTAAACGTATTACTTAAAACAATAAACAAAAAGCTATAAGTACAATCATTATATATTCTTTTTCTATGGGTACAATCATAGATATTTTTTTATAATAATTATTATTCTTTATAATCTATGGGTAGTTTTGTATAAGGTCTATGGTAGTATCACGGTTAGTATCACAGTTTATTCTAAGACCGTGGTTTAAGATACAATCCCACGGTACATTGCGGCGGAAAAGTTTCTTATCAAATAAATGTTTTTACTCACTGGATACTAGCGCTTCCAGTGCCAACATAGCCTATCACTAAATGTTGGTACCAAAAACAATAATCCCAGACGGCATTTTACTATTTACTAGTTAGCCATACCACAAAATAGAAAATAATATATAGAATTTTATTCTGTATAACTGTTAATATACTATAGTATATAGCAAATAGCAATAGTCATACACATAAACAGCGATAAAGGATGCAGCTGTTGGTATTAGATTGGAAAGCTATTAAATGCCAATATAAAATTGACATTTGTTAAAAAAAATTACATTGTAAAGTTCTTCTACGTTTTCAATCATAAAGTATTATGGAGTAGGTCCTATATAATAATAATTAATTATTATAATATAGTATTAATTATTATTATTATTTAATGAATTTAAAGAATATCAAGAGTATCGTGGTAATTTAGTAGATCCGAGATCTCGCCACGGGGAAGTAAGTTTTTCATATTTTTGATAAGAAACTCTACCGCCGAAATATCAGACCTCGTCGCTTAACCATTCTATCTTAAACCGTGGGTAGTATCCACGAAGTAGAGAAGATAAGGTGACACCACTCTCGTATCTTTCAATGTTACAATATTGACGAAAAAAATCTCGGCAGTTTGGTAGTTCAGAATTGATCACCAGAGTACGCTACCATTCGCACGAAGGCCGACTTTTATACGAGTCGTAATGTAGATTATTTTATATTTAAATTTTATTTATTTTAATTGTTATTCAAATGTCAATAATGTGCATGCCAAAATAATATATTTTATGTTATATTGTATAGATTATTAAAATACACAATTGTTTTGGAATCGTGTACCAATTATTATATAAACATTATAATAATATATGGTGTTGTCGCCAACATAGTTTTTTGAATCGTATTCGTTTGGCGGGTTTTTTCGTTTTGTGAATTTCGTATTGAGGTATCGGCTCGTATCGTGCGCCACCGCGGTGTGGTTGACAACAATGACAACAGCAGCTGTTGTGTGATAACTGCCCGGTGCGTGCGTGCAGCCGTTATCTCATTTTTTGGTTTTAAAATGTTTCGTTATTTCGTATCGTGTGTGTGCGGTCGAAATAAATTCGGTTATGTTTTCATGTATTCATTTTCTCAAGTCATTCACCTCAGTGTCATCCATAAGTTCGCGTGTTTTTTTTGTGTAGGTGGTACTGAGCTTTCGTTTCGTACTTCATGTCGTCGTCGGGACCGGTTCGTTAAAACCGTGTGACGGACCKGCTCACCTTGGGTTTTTTGTTTTTTCGTTTTGTTGCTGCGGTATAGAGCTCCGTGTCGTCAACTCTTGTCCACAATTTAGTTGTCTGCTGTCGAAARCCACGTTGTCTGTGATTTCATGAATTGGTTGTTGGTAAATATCGTTCGAACAATTTATATTGTCAATGTTTTCATATTTATTTCCCCAGTCTAGGGTGGTCATTATTGTTGCCACCAATCATTGT